GAAAGCATGAGTAATTGAACCACTGTGGGAAATGTCCAAAAGTCACACTGTTGACCTCTGTTTCAAATGTTTTTAGTTTCTTGTTTTAGCTGATCGTATCTCTCCCATTTCATCACTCACTGCTGATATTTTGTGCCACCATGACAGTCGCTTACCCGTCGCTGTTGATGTCAGTGGTTGCCACTGCGTAGCCAAAGTAGGACCCCATCTGGAATGCATTACAAACAAGACCCAGTTAGCCTGTAATCATACCACAGCACACAGATCCCTTTCTTTTCTTTCATTTTCTCTCTCTACGTTTCCTTTTTATCTTTCCACCACCACCCCCAGAAGCTTTCTTTTTCTCTCTCAATCCCACAATCCCCTGGGGTCTCCTCTCCTCCACATCAGTGTTGACGCTCCTGTAAGTTCGAGTTGAGGTAGGGGGTCTGAGGATTGACAACTACAACTCCTTTAAAGCACACCCCAAGAAAATGCTTGTGGGACTTGGGCTTTCCGGTTTAATTTCATGCGATGTATGAGCATGTATGATAAATAAGGGTCACGTTACATCCTCGTTTGACTCTGATTTCAAAGTGATTTGTAGTATAGCGTCACTGAAGGGTTTCCAACACTGGAAACCTTTGTGAAAAACAACACTGAATGCTAGGATTGCTTTCCCGTCGTGCACATGCAAAGCAGCTCGTAACATAAATCACTGAGGCTCAGGATCAAGTTCTAATGCAGCAATGTAAAACTCTGGCATCACTGTTTTGCTCTACACTCAAAGTCCAAGAAAACACAATCAAGTGCTCTGGTAATGTTCTTCCGAGGTCTGGTGAGCTGTGGTGAGAACAGCAAGCTTGGAAAAGTCAACCACTGATGGCTTTTCAGTCATCAGCCACAACGTCTGGGTTTCCTTTAATAGCTCGACAAACTGCGTCAGGTTTGTAGAGATGAGGACCAGGCCACAAAGTTCTGTAACAAATTTTTGTTGTTGTATTTCACAAAGTGGCAAAAATCAAACCATGCTGCTCATGCCTTTTGCAGATTTTTTTAAATTGAAATCAGCTAAAAAAAAAAACAAAAACTGTGAAACAGTCCAAAATGTTTGACCTCCAGTCTTGGTGAGAAACATTTGACACATCCGTGTCTGTGTGCATTGCAACCCTACATCCAAAAAGGTTGATTCTGTTCATCTGGATGTACAGAATCTTCCTTTTGGGATTTGCCTACCTGGATGCATGCATCGAGACATTGCAACCCTACAGTTTATGGGCACAGCTTGCTCTGAAGTTCAATTTAAACTTCTTCATTGACTCTACATATGTAGAGCCAACAATTTAACCTACACCCACTTTGCATTTGTACACGTGACGCTGTACTGCTCTGCAACTTTGCTGCCAAGCGACCGACACTGTCGTTTTCAACAGCAAAGCAACACGACCTCTTGGAGAAAAGCTTTCTGGTGTGTTTTCACAGCTGATCTCTACATCACAGTCTGAGCACCCATAGAGAGACCAGCAACAGAGAGAGGAGCCTCATTAGCCGGGAGTTTACACCAGATCACTCTCACTATGACCTGACAGTTTATCCGGCGCCCTCCACCCTCAGATGGACACCTCTGAGCACTTACTGATGACCTCCCAGGCTGCGCCGCACACGCATAAACGCACGATTGGCCATATGCTTTACCATGAGTCCAGGTGTCACATGCTCTCGCATCAGCAAAGTCTAATGACGTAACTGGTATGTCACAACTCAAGTGATACCGTTACCTTTGTGTCACATGACAGTTTGTACAGGGAAAGAGTTTTTGGTTTCTGTATCTGTTCCCCTTCTACAGTTTGTCTTCGACCGCACTCTAAAGTCAATTCAGTGTCAGAGTTGAGGGACAAGATCCAAATTTAGCTAAATTAATAAAACCAAAATGTGTGACAAAAATTGTCCTTTTCATTTACTGGTTTTAACCTACACTTTTAAGCAAATACAATAAACACAGAAGGAAAATTTATTCTGGATGTAAATGAAACATGTACTCATATTTCCATTCCAGGTCAAAGGGGCTTCTGAACGCCCTCTACAAATGACTCATCACCACCCTTCACCTTTTCCACCACTAGAGAATTGATAAATAGCATTTTAATGATAGTAAAGGGTAACGTTGTAATCTAGCACTTACATTTTCACAGGAAATTAAGTAGGTGGTTAACAGATAACATTTCACACCTTCAGCTGCACAGCATGGAAAGTTAACAACAAAAAAGCTCGATGACTAACTGAGCTAAATATACCAACGTGATTAATCTGTTCAGCACTGGTGCTCTTCAGCTCTGACTGTCTTTAAAAATGCACATCCTGAATCAATATGCTGACCACTGTCTTGGTGTCTGCTAACTCTGGGTTTGATTAACAGCTTTTAGAAACCACGAGCTGTGACCTGCAGCTCTGACCCTGGCGTAGGCCTCTTCTCCACAGGGCAAATTCCTTCATCTCCAACCCTCCATTGCACATGCCACTTTAAATATAGGACCATACATGAAAAACAGCAGTCAGGCAAAAAAAAACATCCAGTCACACTTGTACGTACCTGCTCCCCTGTCAGGTTTAGCAGAGATTTCAGATCACTTCCATTTAATATGGACACCTATATCAGAACAGAAGAGAGTTAGCCATTAAAACCCGTGCGTTGAGAACCTTCACGTTGCCTCACGTTTCCTATTTGTACTGCAAAAATCAAGAAGAACATAGGAACTCCTTACTAAACCATACAGCATGAGTCCTTTTGGAACTCCTGTGACAAAATCTGTGAAAAGAAAAGTAACAACATAATTATCAGATTTATTTTG